TGGGATTAGACTTCCCCTATCTCCAGCTTTCCAGATCTCTACCCCTCAAGCACTTCAGAACCCAACGCCTTCCTTGAGGTCTGGGCACTCCTTCTTCTGCCCTTTCCCCAACCCGCCACTCTAACGTCCTCTCCTTTCCAGGCCCCTGTTCCCTGTCACAGGTTCTCCCAAGACCTTACACCAGCAGCTCTTTTCCTCTGTGTTCCTTGGGTCCCTCCTTTCCCCTCAGCTGCCCCTCTAGCCCCCTCCCCACTGCCTTCCATATCTTCTAAGCAATCTCCCACCCTGAAGCCCCTCTATCCCTCACCAGGGTGTCCTTATAGTCTCCCCTCCCATCATCTCCCCGCCCCAAACTCGTGGACTTTCACCCACTCTCAGGCCTCCTATATACCACTGGCCAGGAGCCTCGGTGACCTATCTAACCCCTTTCCCCTGTATGACACCCCCTATCCCAGGCCCTCAAGCCCTGCTCCATTAGGCTTCCGGCATTCCACTTCCTCCAGGTCCCCTCTGGCTTCCTCCCATTCCATCGCTCCACAGGGCACCCCCACCATGCACTTCTTTCCCTTCTTCCCTACATTAGGAATCCCTCTAACCCCATCGTTTGTACGATCCCCCAGCTTTTCAGTCTTTCCCAGGGGACACCTCTATGCTCCCATCCCCGGGACCTCACTGTCCTCCTCCCCTTTCAAGCCCTCCCGGACCCCTCTAGCTACTCCGTGTCGTCACCTCAAGAGGCACTCTATGACACCCCAAGCCCCTGCGTGCCCCCCACCCTAAAGTTCCTCCCGGGGCCCATCTATGCTCTTTTTCTACAACCGTAGAGCTTTTGATCCCCCGGGTCCCTCTGTGACCCCCAAACCCCTCAGTTTCACGCTCCCCCCTCCCCCGCGTCTCCAGTGTCCCCCGGCCGCGCGCTCACAGTTCCGGATGTCGGAGATGAACACAGCGAGCCCCCGCATCCCATCGCCCTTGGACACGGCCGGCATGATGGCGGCGGTGTCGGCTCCAGGCCTGGCCGGACAGGGCACACAGCAGCGGGGGCTGGCAAGCGGGGACCGGGCGGAAAGGACCCCAGGCAGCGCCAAGGAGCCGAGCCGGCCGCGGGGAGGGCTGGCGGGCGGGCGGGCGGGCTGGCAGGCCGTGGCACCGCCCCCTGCCCCTCCCCTCCGCCCGCCGTCCGGAGCTCTGAGCCTCCCATTGGTTTGGGCTCCTGCCGCTCACACTCGCGTTTCTCCCCACTTCCTCTCTCATTGGCCTCTAAGCAAAGGCACGACGCTGCCATTGGCCCAGTGTTCCGCTATTTCCGTTTGGGAATGAGACGGGGGGGAGGAGGCGTTGCCCGAGAGACGGGCGGGGTTCGATTGCGCATCATGGACCCGCCCCCTTCGCGCGGCCAGGTCAAACACTGATTGGATCTAGCGGCCCTCCAAGGAGGGAGGGAGGGTCGTGAATGAAGGCGGGGAACGGGACTAGGAGGCGGGACTTAGGTTGACTGAGACCAATGAACGGGTAGACCTCCCCCTCAGGCGTCGCGGACTGGCGAGAGCTGTCCTACTTCAGCTCTCTATTGGGCGGCTGTGGGGCGGGCGGAAGGCGAAGATCAGTAGAGAAGGAAGGAGAGAGGGTGTCACTCCGCTCGGCTGGGATAGGTGGAGCGACGCCTGCAATTCCCTGCTGCAGAGAAGGGGTTGGGCGGGGCAAGAGAGCGTGCGGTGTTTACTGCGCAAGCGTCTCAGTGTTCCCTTTCTCCATCTACTGTCACCCCCGACTGCTAAAATCCTCTTCTAGGAAGCCTTCCTCCCCTCCCCCCTTCTCTGCAGCCAACGTGTCGGGACTTGAGTTGTCAGGAGACCTAGAATCTCAGAGTGAAAAACAGTAATTCAAGTCTAGTCCCATTAAGCAGAGGTTAAACCTTAGGTCGAGAGGGTGAATGACTTGCCCAGGGCCACACAGCTTGTAAGTGAAAAAGCAGAAATAAATGTAAACCATATCTTGGCTTACTTTTCAATATATGTTGCCTTTTTTTTTTTTTTTTTTTTGTCCAACCACAGTGTCTCTCGGGCAGCCTCCATTGTAGCAGATATCAAACCAAAATTGATTCTTTCCTCCAGACTGGGAACTCCTTCTGGGCAAGAATGGGACCTGGCCTTGAAGAGTTTTCAACAACATCTGTTAAAGGAAGGAATGGGTGAACCTGCTTTGGCCCAGCCCCAGCCTCCATCCCCAACCCCCAGCTCCCCAGAGACTCTTCGGTAAACTAGCTTTGGGGAAGGCAAAACGGCCAGAACTCCCAACGCCCCGGGCGATTGAGAAATTTGGGACAAAGGGAACTGGAAGAGTCCATTTCTGTCACCTCTAGGAACAAAACCACCCCATCATCCTTTTCTAATCTCAGAATCCAAGCATTCCTGGAATGAGTCTTGGGGGTGTGTCCGGGACCTTTGGATTGGCCATTCTGAATCCTGGGAGATGGAAAGGAGTTTGAGAAGAGCCCACCTTCCAGGCTTAATGGATGCTTCCATTTGGGTTTCCAGGAATGGGACCTGGGAAAGTCCATTTTGGATTCCAGGAGGACAGACGTTGCTCAGCTGTTTTAGTCACTGGAAGAGTCCATTTCTAATATGGGGGGGTGCTGTTTGCCCCTGAAGAACATAAAGCAGCCCCATTAAACACAGGAAAAATTATTAATCCCAGGACTTGAAGAAGTTTGTTTTGTTTTGTTTTCTGAAACGGAGCCTCGCTCTGTCGCCCAGGCTGGAGTGCAGTGGCGCGATCTCGGCTCACTGCAACCTCCGCCTCCCGGGTTCACGCCATTCTCCTGCCTCAGCCTCCCGAGTAGCTGGGACTACAGGCGCCCACCACCTCGCCCGGCTAGTTTTTTGTATTTTTAGTAGAGACGGGGTTTCACCGTGTTAACCAGGGTGGTCTCGATCTCCTGACCTCGTGATCCGCCGTCCTCGGCCTCCCAGAGTGCTGGGATTACAGGCGTGAGCCACCGCGCCCGGCCTTTTTTTTTTTTTTTTTTTTTTTTTTTTGAGACAGTCTCGCTCTGTCGCCCAGGCTGGAGTTCAGTGGCTCAATCTCAGCTCACTGTTCAAGCCTCCCAAGTTCAAGCGATTCTCCTGCCTCAGCCTCCCGAGTAGCTGGGATTACAGGCACCCGTCATCATGCCCGCCTAATTTTTCTATTTTTGTAGAGAGAGGGTTTCACTATGTTGGCCAGGCTGGTCTTGAACTCCCAACCTCAGGTGATCCGCCCGCCTCGGCCTCCCAAAGTGCTGGGATTACAGGCGTGAGCCACCCCGCCCGGCCGGAAGTTCTTTTTTATAGAAAGATACATAAAGCGTTCCAAGAACTGGAGTCCATTCATGACAAGGAAGAAGTACTTTCTCCCCAGGGATAACGGCATTTAAAATGTCTGTTAGCAGTGATGTTTGAACTAGTCTTTTTGAGAAGTGTGAAGAGGGACATCTAGGGACCCAGGAACAGGAAAAGTCTGTCCCTAAATAGCAGGGCGTGCTTGCTTCCACGGCACATGTATTACAATTGGAACTGGCCGGGCGCGGTGGCTCACGCCTGTAATCCTAGCACTTTGGGACGCCGAGACGGGCGGATCACGAGGTCTGGAGATCGAGACCATCCGGCTAACACGGTGAAACCCCGTCTCTACTAAAAAATACAAAAAAAAAACTAGCCGGGCGAGGTGGCGGGCACCTGTAGTCCCAGCTACTTGGGAGGCTGAGGCAGGAGAATGGCGTGAACCCGGCCGGAGCTTGCCGTAAGCTGAGAATCCGCCACTGCACTCCAGCCTGGGCGACAGAGCTAGACTGTCTCAAAGGCTGGAGTGCAAAAAAAAAAATTGGAACGATACAAAGAAGATTAGCATGGGCCCTGCGAAAAAAGATAACATGCAAATTTGTGACATTTTCTGGGCCGGGGGTGGCGGGGTGCACAGTGGCTCATGTCTATAATCCTAGCACTTTGGGAGGACAAAGTGGGCAGATCACAAGGTCAGGAGTTGGAGACTCGCCTGGCCAACATAGTGAAACCTCATCTCTACTAAAAATAAAAATTAAAAAAAAAAATTAGCTGGGTGTGGTGGTGGGCACCTGTAGTCTCAGCTACTCAGGAGCCTGAGGCAGGAGAATCGCTTGAACCTGGGAGGTAGAGGTTGCAATGAGCCGAGATCACACCACTGCACTCCAGCCTGGGTGTTGGAGTGAGACACCATCTCAAAAAAAAAAAAAAAAAAATTATGGCCGAGTGTGGTGACTCACACCTGTAATCCCACAATTTGGGAGGCTGAGACAGGTAGACCATTTGAGATCAGAAGTTTGAGACCAACCTGGCCAACATGGTGAAACCCTGTCTCTACTAAAAATACAAAAGTTAGCCGGACATGGTGGCCAACGCCTGTAGTCCCAGCTACTGGGGAGGAGGCTGAGGCAGGAGAATCGGTTGGACCCGAGAGGCAGAGGTTGCAATGAGCCGAGATTGAGCCACTGAACTCCAGCCTGGGTGACAGAGAGAGACTCTGTCTCAAAAAAAAAAAAAAAAAAAAAAAAAAAATTAAGGAAAATAATAAATAAATAAATAAACGGGGGAGAGGGATGCCACCCTCTCTCCTGCCGCAACTCTCCACCTTCCTCTCCTCCCTCACCTTCCACCCTGACCCCGAGGCCCACTGTACCTAGCTTTCTCTTGTTGATCTACCTGTACGTTGCCTTTCCCCCCACCCCAATGCGCCATAGAATATGAGACCCTCCGGGTCAGGGTCTGGATCTCAGCCCTCTTCGACCACAGTCTCTCAGACCCCAGCCAACTATCAAATCCAGGAAGCTACATGAAGAATCAAGTACAAGTGCACAGGGCTGGATGACCCCACGCTTAGTCTCAGGGAGAGGGAGGTTGGACCTCTCCCAAGAATCTGTGGGCCAACCCGTTGTAAGTTACAGGCTAGCACGAGTCTATCCACTGGAGCTCTGAAGACGGGGGCACGCTGGGCATGTAACTAGAATCCCGCACAGGAGGAGTCCACTGAGAACCCTGGGGGAATGACCTGGGCCAGCACCCCTCCCTAACCCGTGTCCCCCACTCACTGGAGCCCAGTGGTTGGGTCCTTTGTGAGGCAGGCTGAGGGGACACTGGATCCTGAGGGTCTGTGGTCACAGTAGGCAGGAAGTCTCAGAGGAAGGAGCCCTCCCTGGGAGCCAGACCCCCACGCCATGGCGAGCGTGGTGGTGAAGACGATCTGGCAGTCCAAGGAGATCCATGAGGCCGGGGACACCCCCACGGGGGTCGAGAGCTGCTCCCAGCTAGTCCCAGAGGCTCCCCGGGGGGTGAGCAGCCGGGCCAAGGGGATCCCGAAGAAAAAGAAGGCCGTGTCGTTCCACGGGTGGGTTTGTTGCACCCTGTCAGGGATGGTTCTAACGCCCAGCACTTCCTCCAACAGAGCAGGAGTCCGACTGTGGATGCTGGAGGAAGGGGAGGGGGAAAAGCCAGCAGGTGGGGGGCAGGAAAGAGGGCAGTGGTGAAGAAGACATCAAGTCGCAGGGAGGTAGAAAGGAAGAAGGTAATGGGGATGAATGGAGGGAGGAAAAAGCCAGTGGGGAGGGAAGGAGGAGAAGGGAGGCTAGTGAATGAAGAAGAAAGTGGCCGGGGCAGAGAAGGGAGGATAAAGTAGGCAGTGGGGAAGGAGAAGAAGAAAGTAGGTAGTGGTGGCTGGGCATGGTGGCTCACGCTTGTAATCCCAGCACTTTGGGAGGCTGAGGCAGGCGGATCATGAGTTCAGGAGTTCAAGACCAGCCTGGCCAACATGGTGAAACCCTATCTCTACTAAAAATATAAAAATTAGCTGGGCATGGTGGCGCATGCCTCTAACCCCAGCTACTCAGGAGGCTGAGGCAGGAGAATTGCTTGAACTGGGACCGGGAGCCGAGATCATGCAACTGCACTCCAACCTAGACAACAGAGTCAGACTCTGTCTCAAAAAAAAAAAAAAAGAAAAGAAAAGAAAGTAGGCAGCAGGGAAGGAGAATAAAGCAGGCAACGAGGACAGAGAAGGGAGAAACTTGTATACAGTGAGAGTGGAGTCACAGGGGGTGAGGTATGGAGAAAGGAAGGCAGCAGGGGTCAGACACTGTGGAGCTGCTTCTCGACCTTTCTGCCTGTTTCTCCTTTGCAGGGTGGAGCCCCAGATGTCCCACCAGCCCATGCACTGGTGCCTGAACCTCAAGCGGTCCTCGGCCTGCACCAATGTGTCACTGCTCAACCTGGCCACCATGGAGCCCACCGACTCCACGGGGACAGACTCCACAGTGGAAGACCTCAGTGGCCAACTCACGCTGGCCGGACCCCCTGCCTCCCCCACCCTACCCTGGGATCCGGATGACGCAGACATCACGGAAATCCTGGTGAGGGCCCCCCACACTACCTGCTGGGGAAGACCCAGGTCCTCCACTCGGTGGTAGCAAATACTTAGGACAGGGATGGGGTGTTTTTGACTTGGAGTGAGAACATTCTGGTCATTCTTTGAGACGCAGAGGAACTAACTGGGAACTGCCTCCTCCTTCTCTGGCAGCCAGCCATGAATCCGGGCGTTGGTCTTTTATTTTTTTTCTTCTTCTTTTAGAGACAGTCTCATTGTGTTGCCCAAGATGGTCTCAAATTCCTGGGCTCAAGTGATCCTCCCGCCTCGGCCTCCCCCAGTGCTGGGATTACAGGCGAGAGCCACTGTGCCTGGCCTGGGTGTTGGTCTTCAATTCATGCAGTCAATCCCAAATGTCCCCAGTGAGGCTGGGCTCAGGAACCAGGCCAGATTCCTGCGCTTGGGGAGCTCCCAGTCTGGTGGGGGCAAAAGACACAGACTAGGGTGAGAAATTCCGTAACAGAGGAGATCCCAGAGAAGGGCTCCTCAAGCCAGGTTGGGGGTATCAGGGAAAGCTTCCTGGAGGAGGATGTCTTGCAACTGGACCTTAGCGAGTGAGTAGGCGTTCTCTGAGGGGAGTCACCTAAGAATCTGGGGCAAAACTGAGAGGTGAGCAAGATTTAGGGAGATTTAGAGAATTTCTGGCAAAAGTATAGAGGGTTACAACTTGGTGCTTTAACTCACTGCACCTCTGCTCCTCACCCCCCACCTGGCTTCCCCTGGGCCAGGCCTGAAACAGGCTCTACCAGATACTGAGAACTACACTGACAATAGCCATGATCTTCATGATGCTGATGAGATTCACTAGCACTTACCAGCACTTTCTATGTTCAGGGAGCCCCAGTTTTCTCATCTGTAAAATGGAGATGCATACATTCGTTTCTTTATTTTTAAATCTTATTTATTTATTTATTTATTTATTTATTTATTTATGAGACAGAGTTTCACTCTTGTTGCCCAGGCTGGAGTGCAGTGGCACGATCTCGGCTTACAGCAACCTCCGCCTCCCGGGTTCAAGCCATTCTCCTGTCTCAGACTCCCTAGTAGCTGGGATTACAGGCATGCACCATCACACCCGGCTAATTTTGTATTTTTAGTAGAGACAGGGTTACTCCATGTTGGTCAGGCTGGTCTCAAACTCCGGACCTCAGGTGATCCGCCCACCTCGGCCTCCCAAAGTGCTGGGTTACAGGTGTGAGCCACTGTGCCCAGCTTTTATTTATTTTTAAGGCGGGGTCTTGCTTTGTCTCCCAGGCTGGAGCGCAGTGGCACGAGCACAGCTCACTGCAGCCTGGGCTCAAAGGATCCTCCCATCTCGGCCTTCCGAGTAGCTGGGACCACAGGCACACACCTGGCTAATTTGTTAAAAAACTTTTTGTACGCCAGGCGCAGTGACCTGTAATCCCAGCACTTTGGGAGGCCAACGCGGGTGGATCACGAGGTCAGGAGTTCAAGACCAGTCTGGCCAATATGATGAAACCCTGTCTCTACTAAAAATACAAAAATTATCTGGCGTGAGGGTATGTGCCTGTGGTGGCATGTGCCTATAGTCCCAGCTACTGGTGAGGCTAAGGCAGGAGAATGGCTTGAACCCGGGAGGCGGAGGTTGCAGTGAACTGAGATCGCGCCACTGCACTCCAGCCTGCATGACAGAGCAAGACTCTGTCTCAAAACAAACAAACAAACAAACAAATAAATAAATAAATAAATAAATAAATAAATAATTTCTGTAGAGACAGGGTCTTACAATGTTGCACAGTCTGGTCTTAACGTCAAGCAATTTTGGGGCCTCAGCCTCCCAACGTGCTGAGATTACAGGAGTGCAACACCATGCCCAGCCACATATATTCTTTTTAACAAATACCTCTTTCTTTTTTTCTTTTTTGAGATGGAGTCTCACTCAGTAGCCAGGCTGGAGTACAGTGGCGCGATCTTGGCTCACTGCAAACTCGACCTCTCGGGTTCAAGTGATTCTCCCACCTCAGCCTCCCAAGTAGCTGGGATGACAAGAGTGCCACCACACTTGGCTAATTTTTGTATTTTTAGTAGAGATGGGCTTTCACCATGTTGGCCAGGCTAGTCTCGAACTCCCAACCTCAGGTGACACCCACCGCAGCCTCCCAAAGTGCTGGGATTACGGATGTGGGCCACCGCACCTGGCCTCTCTTTTTCTTTATTTTTATTTATTTATTTTTTCATTTTCTTGAGACAAGGTCTCACTCTATTGCCCAGGCTGGAGTGCAGCAGCATGATAATAGCTCACTGCAACCTCAAACCCTTGGGCTTAAGTGATCTTTCCACCTTGACCTCCCAAGTAGGTGGGACTACAGGTGCACACCACCATGCCCAGCTAAACAAATGTCCTTCCTTCCTTCCTTCCTTCCTTCCTTCCTTCCTTCCTTCCTTCCTTCCTTCCTTTCCTTTCCTTTCCTTTCCTTTCCTTTCCTTTTTGTTTTTGAGACTGGTTCTTGTTCTCTTGCCCAGGCTGGAGTGACAGCATGACAGCTCAGGCACAATATTGGCTCACTGCAGCCTTGGCCTCCCCAGGCGGAGGTGATCCTCCCACCTCAGCCTCCCAAGTAGCTGTAACTGCAGGCGTATGCCACCACAGCCAGCTAATTTTTTTTTTTTTTTTTTTTTGGAGATGGAGTCTCGCTCTGTTGCCAGGCTGGAGTGTAGTGGTGTGATCTCAGCTCACTGCAACCTCCACCTCGGGTTCAAGCGATTCTCCTGCCTCAGCCTCCCGAGTAGCTGGGACTACAGGCACACGCCACCACACCCAGCTAATTTTCGTACTTTTAGTAGAGACGGAGTTTCACCATGTTGGCCAGGATGGTCTTGATCTCTTGACCTCATTATCTTCCCGCCTCAGCCTCCCAAATTGTTGGGATTACAGGTGTGAGCCACCGCGCCTGGCTTCACCCAGCTAATTTTTAAAACAAATTTTTGAGGCCGGGCTTGGTGGCTCACGCCTGTAATCCCAGCACTTTGGGAGGCTGAGGCGGGCAGATCACCTGAGGTCAGTAATTTGAGACCAACCTGATCAACATGGAGAAACTCCATCTCTACTAAAAATATAAAATTAGCCGGGTGTGGTGGCACATGCCTATAATATCAGCTACTTGGGAGGCTGAGGCAGGAGAATCACTTGAACCTGGGAGGTGGAGGTTGCAGTGAAACGAGATCGTGCCATTGCACTGTGGCCTGGGCAACAAGAGGAAAACTCCGTCTCAAAAACAAAAACAACAACAGGCCGGGCGCGGTGGCTCAAGCCTGTAATCCCAGCACTTTGGGAGGCCGAGACGGGCGGATCACGAGGTCAGGAGATCGAGACCATCCTGGCTAATACAGTGAAACCCCGTCTCTACTAAAAAATACAAAAAAATAGCCGGGTGAGGTGGCGGGCGCCTGTAGTCCCAGCTATAGGGAGGCTGAGGCAGGAGAATGGCACAAACCCGGGAGACGGAGCTTGCAGTGAGCTGTGATCCGGCCACTGCACTCCAGCCTGGGCGAAAGCGCGAGACTCCCTCTCAAAAAAAAAAACAACAACAACAACAACAACAACAACAAAAACCCAACTAAGGCAGACAGCCATGTAGTAAGCTCCGCAAGGTCAAGGTTGGAGAGCTCGTAAGAAGCAGGACCAGGACAAGAAGGCTGCTGCTTTTGTCACTCATACAAAAGGCCTTTCTCTCCCCAAGACTCCCCTGGGTTGAGTGGGTGTATTTGGAAGGGAGAGACTGAGGCAGGGAGGCCACAGGGGAGGCTGGGCAAGGGTCCAGGGAAGGAGGAGGAGCTGCAGAGAAGAGAACACGGCAGAGAGTCTGCCTGGGAGACATCTCCTCCCTCAGACAGAAGAGCTCTCCGCCCTCTCTTGGGGAGTGTCTCTTGGGCAGCACTTGCAGCCGTTTGCCTCCCACCAGCGCTATTTCTGAGTCACATCCCCCAGTGGATCGTGAAGCCTGAGAAAGTGCCCCAGGCAGCCAGGATCAAGGTCTGACACAGCCACCAGCTTGCTGTGGGTCTGCAGGGGAGTATGGGCCTCTAAGGGCCTTCAAGTTCCTTCTCGGTGAAATGGAAAAAGTAATGACCTTGGGGTGCGTGCTGGAGAGGTGAGAGGGGGAAGCAGGAGCTGGAACCAGCACCCAGCACCTGAGCTGCATCCAGAGAGAAGGCAGGGACAGGCAGAGAGAAGGGCACAGAGCCCAGAGAGAGGGGACAGAGACCCAGAGAGGGAGACAGAGACCCAGGGAGAGGGGGACAGAGACCCAGAGAGAAGCAGATAGAGACCCAGAGAAAGGAGGATGGAGATCCAGAGAGAGGGGGACAGAGACCCAGAGAGAGAGAAAGGGAGAGAGACCCAGAGAGAGGGGAAGGGAGACCCAGAAAGAGGGGGACAGAGACCCGGAGAGAGGGAGACAGAGACCCAGAGAGATTAGGAGAGAGACCCAGAGAGAGAGGGATGGAAACCCAGAGAGAGAAGGAAAGAGACTCGGAGGGTGGGAGGACAGAGGTTCCGGGGAAGGAACAGATGGGTCCAGTGTGAGAGAGATGGAGACTCAGAGACAGAAGAAGAGATGATCCAGGGCTGGGCACGGTGGCTCACGCCTGTAATCCCAGTACTTTGGGAGGCTGAAGTTGGCAGATCACTTGAGGCCAGGAGTTTAAGAGTGGCCTGGCCAACATGGTGAAACCTGGTCTCTACTAAAAATACAAAAATTAACCAGGTGTGGTGGCAGGTGCCTGTAATCCCAACTACTCAGGAGGCCGAGGCAGGAGAATCACTTGAACCCCGGAGATGGAGGTACCTGTGAGCCGAGATCACACTACTGCACTCTAGCCTGGTGGACAGAGGGAGACTCCATCTCAAAAAAAAAAAGAAGAAGAAGAAGAAAAAGAAGAAATGATTCATAGTAGGGAGACAGAGACCCACAGTAGGAAAGTGGGGGAGCACAAGCCTAGAGAGATGGGGACATCACAGAGAAG